GAGTACCGGGAGGAGAAGTTCGAGAGAGGGAGAGAGGGAGAGTGAGAGAGCATGAAGAAGAGAAGCTAAACGAAAGTGATCATGAAAATGGAGAAATAGGGACGAGAAAAGAGCAGACACAGAAAACCAGAAACAAAAAAAATAGAGCATTAGCTAGACAAAAAAACGAAGCAAAAAACTAGAGAAAGAGACTGAGGAAGAAGGCACGTATGAGGGAGAAGGGAGGTGACACACAAATGATGGAGGCTGGTTCAATTCAACCATTCATTCGAATTTGGGGCTTCATCTATGTTGAGCGATTTGACACTATGCAGAAATTGCAAAGAGATTCCAAATAAAGATATTACCTACTGTACTGGTTAGTTTGAATTGATTTTTGGTATATTCCTATCATGTTTTGACCAAGAACAGTAAAAAAGTTGATGTGATAGTGGTTTTGAAGAAAAAAAGAAAAAAGAAAAAAAGGACTCACAATAACATTTTGTGCTTATGGTCATAATTTGTTAGAACTAATTTTTGGATATATTTTTGCCACAATTTTGTCTCAAACAGGGAAGGAAAATTGTTGTGATTGTTAGGCTGGGTTTTTTGGAATTGGATTTTAAAATATGTTTTAGCATGAAAGGACATGTAGATAAATGGTGACTTGGCTTTGATCCTTATACAAAGAGAAGCCTTTTATCCATTCATAATATTTCAACATGATTCTCTACTTTCTTTATCCATTTGCATGCGCATTATGTCATCACTATAAGGGAGTTTCATTTTTAGGTATTTTGAACTTTATAATCCAATAAAAATAAGAAAGTATATATTTGTTTGTTACTTATTTGTCGTGAAAAATTTTAAAAATTTCTACAGGCATTTAAAATGATCTCATGTCGTGTAAATCAATAAGATTTCACAAATATGAGAGCAAAACGTATGTATTAAAAATTAACTCTCCTTTTATAATCCAAATTAATAATTTATTTAAGTCTCATGTGAGGGTTCAAGAATCTCCATAGAGATTTAAATCAATCACACCATCGTGTGGGATAATAAGTCCTCGCAAGTGTAGTGACTCTCAATTTTTATAATAAATAAATGATTTTTGTAAATAATGATATAATACATAATTTAGAAAAATTAATTAATCAAATTAATGTATTTAAATTATAATCATATTTATCAATTTATCTTTTAGTCATGAGAGATTTTTAAATCTTTATAGACTTCTAAGATAATCGTATTATCGTATGATTCAATAAAATTCTGCAGATATAATGATTAAGTTTTTTAAAATACATATATAAATTATATGTTAAATTAATTAAATTAAAGATGTATTTAAATTTAATTTCTTTATCGTGTAAGATTTTGAAATCTCTGCAGATATTTAGGACAATCATATTACCATATAAGCCAATAAGGCTTTGCAGGTATGATGATTACAATTCTTTAAAAAACAAATACATATATACTTAATCAAATTATTACTAACACTTAAAAATATAAATGAATTAAATTACTAAATTCTTTTATTATGTGAGATTTCAAAATTTTTGTAGATATTTAGAATAACTGCATTACCATATGAATTAATAAGGCTCTACAGGTATAGCAGTTAAAATTCTCAATCATAAAACATAAAGAAAAATAATTTTAAACCCTTTTCTTTCTTTATTCCAAAAATTCAAAAATTGAGAAAATAGTTAAAATTAAATCACTTTTTACAATTTAAAACACACATATCAAAATTTTAGAAAATTATTTTATTTGCCAAAAGGTGAATTATTTTTAATTAATTTCTTTTCAAAAAATATTTTCACCCACAATTTTCAAACCCGAACTACATAAACTTTGATCCCCATCATAGGGTACGTAGGCTTTAGAGTCAAATTCTGAGTCAAGTTCTCCCTCATAAATAAATAAATATTTTTTACTTAATTATTATCATTTTTATATCAAATACATGAATATAAAAGGGATAATTAAAATAATTTTAAAATCATATTAATATAGCACAATAAACTTTAGGTAACCGTTCTCACAAACAGGTGTTGTGGGGTGCCTAACACCTTCCCCACACTCAACCAATTCCTGAACATATTCTCTAATTTTGCAGACCATCCTTATCCTCATTTAAACGGTTTTTCAAAATTTTTCTCAAAATTTTGGTGGCGACTTCCATTTCTTCGGTCTTTTTTTCAAAGGCCAAAACCTCCGTTCTCACACCATTCACGTCGCATTTCTGGGTGCGACATTGCTTATTTTGAATTTTAAAACATTTTAATTTGCAATTTAAAATATAAATAAATAATATAATAATATCAAATTTAAATTAAAAAACGTGCTTCCAATCCTGACCCTGAATCTGATCAATAAGAATCAAACTTCAAGAATTGATTGACTTTAGAGTAACATAATTTCTATACTCAAACCTACATAAACCAAATTTATAAAGACTAGGCTCACGTAGAATGAACCTACCCCTTCCCTCTCTCTGAGGAGGTTAATGAGTGCAAACTAAAAGGCTTGAAATGGTCATAACATGGATGGCCCTCGGACGTGTTTTCTTTGATCCTCCGTTAAATTGTATGAGACTAGCTAATTGAGTTGGATAAAGAAAATTTTAGTATATTCTATTAAGTCTTTTGTATTAACTTTGGATGGCTTTGGTTTAGCCCTTCACTGAAAAAAAAAATTATTTTGTTAAATGAATATTAATGCCAATAATCAATATATGTATGCATGTATGTATTGATGTCAATTTCAATATACATCGATATAAAATATGATAATTTTTACTTATATATATTTTTTATTATAAAGAAGTCTATTATTTTGCTAATAAAATATGATCCATGAATGGTAATTGATCCTTTAAGGTTTATAGCTTTACAAATAATCTCCTTAGACTTCATTTCATGAAAAAGGTAGCCTTTTCAACATATCACTTTCTCATTTTAAAGTAATAGATTAATTAATAATGTAGACATTACGAATATAAATGTGAAAATAAGTTTATTATCAAATTTTAAAAATTATTAAAGATAATTATATTGAGAGTCCTTAATTATATTGAGAGTCCTTAATCTGCACAGAGAAATTTAACTGATTGATAATTAAAAACATAAACAGATCAGATAAGAGTTAAATAGTTCCAGGAATTCTACAATTATCAAAACATCCTATCTTCTAGGACGTATAGTAATATGTTCCAAAATTTAAATTTTCTCTTTATTTTTTTTTCAAAAGCATTTCATCCCAAAAAAATTAAAATATCTATGAAACACAATTAACAGCATTGATAATAGAGAAATGGATCATGATCATTTAAGTAAAAGGTATTGAATTCAAGTCATCTGAATGCATATGATTTCTTTAAATGAGCCATTCTCATTTGTATCCAATAATATAATGTTTGAATACAGCCGTTAAATTGTAACTTTAAATATCAATGAAATCGAGTTTAGTAGAAGAGGCTAGTATCAGTTACAAATATGGCAAAACCAATGTTCAAATCCATGTTGAAAGAATGCCTATATTTAGTGCCTAACTCGAATAAGATTGCTTCTAATAAGAAAATATCTATGAGCAATTAAAAAAAAAGTGTAACTCTAAGTTTTTACTTACATAGTTAAAAATGGTACAATATTTTAAAGGAAAAACAGAATCATGGGTCCTTATAATTTTATTAGATTTTGTTTTTAGTTATTGTAATTTTTTTAATGTAGGACTGAAAACAATGATACTATAAGAACTTAAATAACAAACGTCATTTAATCTTGTTAAAATTATAGAGATTAAAAATATTAAAAAAATTATAAGAATTAAAAACAAAGCTAATTGTTATCTTTTCTCCATTGTAAAAATAAATAAAAGGGAAAAGGAAAAATCACATAAAACATTAACATCAAACGCAACAAAATCACGCGGCGGCTTTCCTATCCCATTGCCTCTTAGAACAATGTCATACTTATATTACATTAAAATATTATATCTTTAAGAAAAAAAAATTATCACTTTATCTTGTAAAATTATCACTTGTACTTTTAAAAATATAATTTATTATCTCATATTATAAAAATATTTTAAATTTAAATATATAACTTTTAAATTGTATCAACATTAGTTTGTGAAACACAAATAATAGCTTTAAAATGGATAATGACTTAAATTGTTTAAAAATTTTAAATTTTTGAAATTATTTAAAGAGATTATTATCTCATAATATCATTGCTTCTTGTTTTGAGATATCGCGCTTCCCAAATCTAGTTTAGCCAAAAAGAAAAAAAAAATCATCCTCTTTTACTCTACCTTTCTTAAACAATCATTATGATCCATCTATGTAATCATTAGTTTAAGATTAAAATAATGTTAATTTCAATTTTAAGTTAACAATAAATTAAATTGTTTTTATTTTTAATTATTGACAACCACTTCTCCGTTTTTAACCAAAATTGGAACCCTAGTCTTAAAAGGACTCAAATTCATCTCGTAGTTGAAGGGTTAAAATGCACGGCTGAGATTTAGTCATGATATTTTAGCCTTTATCATCCTCGGTGTTCCTCGATAAACTTTCTTCTTGTACCGCAAAAAAAAAAAAAAAAAAGGAATAAAAAAAGAACTTTCTTCTGCTCTTAATTCTAAAAGGAAAATGATATATAAGTCCCAAGACAACAATTCAATGACGCGTAAGTTTTAAAAAATTTTCTGCAAAAAAGTTGTAAATATTAATTTAATTTGTTAATAAGAATTACTTTTTAAATTTTACATACCTTATCTTCGATTTAACTTTTAAAATTTATAATTATTTTAAATTGATATTTATGATTTATTGTTTAGAAAAAAAAATTAAATTTAATTGTCATTAAATTATTAATTTGAGACGTAAGTGTGATCCTCAAACTTAACACGCCGGGCAAAAAGAAAATAAAAATAAAAATAAATGATGAGGGCACCTAAGGCGCAAATTAGCGTCCAAGCCTCCAAGGTCGCATAACCCGAACGTTAACCGCTCTCTTGCTTTTTCCCTCACTCGTATATAAACTTGCGTTTCCCGGCGAAGTTGCGAGAAAATTAATAAAATCTTCTCTCAAAGACCTCTTCTTTCCATTCGAATGATTCTCACGTTTTCTCGGCAAATTCCCCAGCTCCCGAAGCTCTGACTCGGCTTGCTTGCTTTCTTTGTTCTGAATACTCTCGGCGTTCTGCTCGTGTCTGTCAATTTTCTGGCTCGGTTTTCCGGTAAATGGTATCTGTGTGATTGAGGGAACACAGAAGGAGAGTTTGAGCAGCAAAGTCCATGGCGATGGGTCCCGAGAGATCTAAGCCTCTTCACAATTTCACATTGCCGTGTTTGAAGTGGGGAAATCAGAGGTACCTCAGGTGCATGAAAGTGACTTCAGACGGCGGCGCCGCCTCCTCTCCATCGACCGGAGATCGGCGATCCCCAGGGTTGAGGTTCGAGAACTCGACGGTGACTCGGAAGAGGGAATTGGAGGGCGAGATGAAGCAGCAGTTTCCTCTGAGCGCCAGGGATTCGGAGAAGAGGATGAGGATTTCGAAATCAATAATAGATGACGATGGAGACGACGGGATCGAGGCGGTGAGGGAGAAGATAATGTTTGATCTGAAGACTGCGGCGGATAAGATGAAGGATGCAATTTTGAGGAAGGAGGCCGGTGAGGAGAACGACGTGGACGAAAAAGAACACGAGGAGCCTCCTGCTGCTTCTGCTCCGTCTTCTGCGACGGCGGCGGCGGCGGCGGAAGCGAGGCCGTGGAATCTCAGGACCAGGAGAGCTGCGTGCAAGGCTCCGATTGCCGGTGGGAGTGGAAAGTGTTTGAAGATTGAGGAGAAGAAACTTAATCACTCGCCGCCGAGGACTGACAACGCCAACGGCATGAAGTTGCCGCCGAAATCGAGAGCCTCTCCCGATAATCCAGAAAGGCCCAAATTTTCACTGCCTCTCTTGAAAAGGGAGATTGAGGAAGATTACGTGGGGATGGTCGGTCACCGGCCGCCGCGGAGGCCGAAGAAGAGGCCCAGAAACGTTCAGAAGGATTTGGATGTAAGTTGATTTCTGTCTTACAATTGCATTCCGTTTTGACTTTTAAATTCAATTCAACGATGCCAATTCTGTGGTTGACGACCACCGACGCTTCAAAATTGGAATCTTCACTGCACTTTTCATTACATTTCATGTTCCGATATGGTCTTGTGTCAAATCTCCGGTTCAGTATTTCTGGTTCTTATTTCTTAACCTTATAGCCTTTGTTCTGGTTTTGCTTCTCTTTCCGGCAACCTCCTCTGTTCTCGTGAAGCTTAAATTTTCCATTCACATGCTTGATTTTCGTGCAGGTCCTTTTTCCTGGTTTGTGGTTATCGGAGATTACACTGGATACATATAAAGTTCCTGAAGCTCCTGACAATGGCAAGGTATAACACTCTTCCATTGATTTCTTCCAGTACTGATTCATCATTTGAATCTTTCTAATAGTTGTCTGGGAAAGAAAAAAAGTTGTCACACTTCCAATTTGAATCTTGAATTGTATGAACTGACTCTTGGATGGGCTTCTTGCAGAGGTAGCAGTGAATGAATGAGATTTATTGGCAGCCAAAGTTGAGAACTTCATGAATGCTTCTCTGTTCGTGGATCACTGGCAATTTGTGACAACAGCTAATTCATGTGTAGGATACATCTCTCTGAAGAGGGATTTTGGTGGGTCTTTTTATTTTTCTTTTCTTTTGCTTTTTTCTTTTTCTTTTTTTTATGTCCCCAGTAACAGCTGGTGTAAGCCTTGTTACTTCCAGTGCTGATATGTTTTCGTTGAATATAATTCTTTCGTTGTGTCTATATGAATAATTCTCTACAGAGAAATGACATCAATAATATCATGGGACAGTGCGGTTTAGCTGATTATAACTTCTAGGAACCAGTTTTAAGATCTAACTTTCTTGTCATCTACAAATTTTTGGTACTCGTCTATTTTATATTATGCCTGGTTTTGAATGTCTTCACTGCTTTATTGCCTTTTTGGTCTAAGATATTTGCATTTAGGACCATTGTCTACTCCCAAGTAAGTACTCTGTATTCTGCATTATGGCTTGTCTTGCTAGAATCATCCAACGAAGGCATTGCATACATAGTCGTCTAGTTAACTCTAGAATAACAATGACAAATTCATGGACCGTTAAGATTGTGTTTAGTTTTACGTTGAAAACTATGCCAAGACATGATTTTGGTCGTTTCCAACGTGAACCCAAACATGCATTTATAGTCGTCTAGTTAACTCTAGAATAACAATGACAAATTCAGGAACTGTTAAGATTGTGTTTAGTTTTACATTGAAAACTATCAAAAGCCGCTACCACCAAAACATGATTTTGGTGGTTTCCAACATGAAACTAGACGTGCGCGAACACGATCATAATTCCTTCTATTGCACTGTTCCATACGTGTTCTTATTGGTTTTGAGCATGTAGCTACTACTTGTCCCTGGGCATGTTCCTTGTTCAGTTCTCTGGTTAATAGATCAATGCTCTTCTTCATTCATGTCTTCCATGTTCTCTGATCAGATCATGCAATTGGTAGTGATATAGTATGCTCAATGTTTCTTTCTGCTAGATGTGAAACAACAAATATGTGGTAGTGTTGAAGGGCAGAGGAACCAAAGTGCCTTACAGATTTTTTACGTTCAGCAGATGATTGTTCATTGCGATTTGAATGCGTTAAGTTAAAGCTTCATGCCCATGAGCGCGGCGTATTTTGAGTTTTTGACTTGAATATAGAGTTACAGGGTCGGGTCGGGTACCTTCGTCCGAATAATAATTGTTCAAACTTTTTTCCCAGCTCGTTGTCATACCCATTAGGGATATCATTAATTGGTTGAAGATCGACTTTTGAGTCCAAGTTTCAGTGGTCGTGTTTTGGGATTTTATTCTAATACTAATAACTAGTATCCATGGCGTGAAATTTGATATATGAATTTCACTGTTTGTTGCTAATAAAGAATGTCACTTGTTGGAATATTTATTGTATATTAATTTTTAAATTATTTTTTTTACATTCCAAATTATAAGAAAATAATGAAAAAAATTTGATATCTCAAAATATAAAATACTTTAATAAAAAAAATATCAATGATTTTTTTAATATTGTATTTTTTATATACATTCTTTTTTTAATATTTTTTTTATAAATAAAATATTAAATGAAAGAAATATTTGAAAGCTGGTATTTTTATTTTTAAAAAGTAAGTTTGTAAGCTGTTGATGTGTGTGATTTGTTTAAAGGTATTTTATAAATTGGAATGAAAATAATGATAATTAATATTTGCATAGAATTATTTTGTCTCATTCAAATGTTTACCTGGTTGACTATCGCTGGCCTTGAAATGAGTGTCGTGCTTGTTTATTACTTTGTTCCAATTGAGTTATTGGTTGTGTCATGTATAATTAATCCGTCGGGTTATCGGTATGAAAAAAATAATAATAATATCTTCTATACTAAATTTTCCAGGCTTACTATATTTCATTAACTTTTAATTTGACCTTTGTTCATCACAGCAACCTGATTAACTTTTGGTGTGCGTCAACCTTTTTTTTTTTTTCCTGGAGCTTTTAATAACAACAGGTCGAGATCAATTTAAAATTTAAACGATAAATTTTTAATCTTAATTGTCATTTCATTTAACTTTGGCATCACAAAATTATGTACGTTCTATATTTAATTTTATTTTTTAATAAAGCTGACAAAATGATAAATTAGAAAGAGTGGACGCGTGTGAGGGGAGGGAACAGGGAAGTCCTGAGGAACAAAAAGGCATATCATGTGGCAGAGGGAAATAGGATGCCAATCGTTTTTGTCATGTGCAGTTTTGAAACTGAGAGGCAGTCCCACACGATATGACGGCGCGTCCACTAAACGCGTCTCCTCGTGCCTTGTCCCGTTATGATTTTCAATATTGATCGATCTATTATTTGGGATCGGCAAAATTCGTTGGGCTCATTCCGCCACGACAGTTTCTTGATTTCTTTTTCAAAAGCCATTCTTTCTCAATTAATGCATTCAATACGATGTTGCTGTTATATGGTCATTTCTTGAATTTTTTAGGTTCCTTCAGATCAAAAGAAATTTTTTAAAGTTTCATAAATCATGAAATTACATGGCTGTTTTCACCAAAAAAAAAAGGTACCGAAAAAATTAATATTTGTCTATGAAAATTTTTATATATCTCACGATTTGAAAATGAGAGAGTGTAATTTTTAGAATTATTTCTTCTATAACACATCAAATTTAAGGGAAAATTTTGATGAATAATATTATTACCAGTTATATATATATATGCTAATATTCAGGAGATTTGTTCTAATTACTTGGCCAAAATGAAAAGGAATTTAAAGAAATTGGTTTGAAAAAAGAAAAAGAAAAATCTTCACTCGATTTCGTTTGTGTACGATTTAGTTTGTTTTGGTCCATATTCATAATATATTTTTTGTTCAGCCCTACATTGCGAAAATATTTAATTTTGAATGTATTTTGTCTACATTTTAAGGTATAAAATCATATATAGTACATCAACAAGAGTTAGTTCTAGTAGATAGAAAACTTGATAAATTAATATTTAAATTTTTACTGAAAAAGATACGCACATTCAATGTTTATCTATGCCTTAAACGAGATGCCTCTCATAAAAAAATACCTATATATATATATATATATATATAATATAATGCATGCGGTAATTTGTAAGCAGGAGGATATAAACAAGTGATTTGCCTTTCAAAACATCCCCCTCCACATAGGAGAGATTAAGTGATCTTGAAAATTAATAAAAAAAAGTCGATAACTTTTAATAAATCATAAAAATTTTGGCCAAAAAAAAATAAATTATAAAAATAATAAAATTGACGAACTTAAATTAAATTTAAAAATATGGATGAATGTTGACTTGTATACACACACATATATTTAAACGTTACTAAGTTATGAAATTTATTTGTAATGCTTTTAATTTGTTTAATATGTGTAAAATTAGAAACATATTAGATTAATGATGATTGATTTGACGGTAATTAAATTGAAAAATTCTAAATCAGCGTTTTCCCTGGTTTGATTAGTCACAATATATAATAAAGCACTTGGTAGATCAACTTGGTTTAGTTGGACTTTCCCACAATAATATAATCACCCACCTATATATTTCAATCCGTTAGTACACAGCCTAATGATGTTTTAGTCCTGTCGGTGAAGCTCCTCTAATAATTTTTATAATCTATTATCAATGTTTTATAATAAGCATTAATTGGTTATATATATCTATATATGCTTGATAATATAGCTAATTATTTTAAATTAAAAATTAAATTAAATTAATATCAATATCAGTGTCGACATAATAAATTGAATAGTTCTGAAGGGAATTTTAAAGTATATTCTTAATTAAATGTTATATTTTAATAAAAGAAATAAATGTTTCTATTTAGGGAATTTCAGTTGTTTTTATTTGTAAAAGATGTGCGTCTACACGTACGTTCAGTACAAAGAATAGAAGGGTATGTTTTCTAGATTTGAACATCTAGAGAGCATGTTGTCTTCATTTATTAGTTGAATTATAAATAAAAAATAAAAATAAAAATACGTCTTGAAATTTAATTTGGCTTCATGTATTGGATATATGAGAATGTGATGCCACCAACTAATTCTAATCCTATCCGAAGTATAGGTTCGCTTGGATTGATAGATTTAAATTACAAATCTAACATTTTAAATTTATGTATTTAATTTTTTTTATTTGAATTTCACCAAAAAAATTTGTTTAAATAATTTAAATAACAAAAGTTATTATTATTAGGCAATGTTTTCAAATTGCATACGAAGATTTGAGGCCCATTTGTTATTAGATTAAATCACTTATTTTTTGAAAAAAAATTATCTTGCAAGTTTTTATTATATTTGTTTAAAATTTTGAAAATAATTAAAATATAAAAAATAAATTTTTGATTATTTTAAAAATCTAGTTTAAATATTTTTTAAAAAATAATTTAATGCAGTAAATAAAAAAGAGTATTTTCAAGAGATGATATATACAAAGATATTATAAAATTTTAAAATAATATAATAATAAATATTTTTATAAAACAAAAATCAAGAAAAATATCATAAAATAATGAATAATAACTATTTATTATTGTAACTAAACATAAAATAATACCTGTTTTTAATAAAATCTTTATATAATAAATATCTTTTTTATAAAATCTCTAAACTATTTAAATTTAACTTATTTTTTAATTTTAAACAAATGAACCCTTGAAATAACAAAAGTTTAGAAATGATTCCAATTAAAATTTAAATCCTTAAATTTTTAAGTGTCTAAATATGTGATTTTTCTCAAATCCAAATCTAAATCCAAACTCATACCAATATCTATCCAAACATAACAATGAAATCTAAATTAGAAATTCAAAAAATTAGAATATAAATAATAAATAAGTTAGAATATAAATACATAGGAGATAAGGAGTCGATCTATAAATTGTTATTTTCTTTTTTTTATTTGTTATCTGAATGTTATCTAAGAAAATCTCTTATATTTTAATTTGATATGAACATTTTTATGTTCAGAATGATTCAATTTCCACATTTAAAATCTTTTTTTAATCGATTTTAGATTTTAATGAAATAATTTTTATGCTCTCTTAGCTTTTTTTTTTTTAAATTTCACTAGGCTCCATGTTGAGAACTTAAAAGTATATTGTGTATCTTAAATATCAAGCATACTCCCTCCATCACTATATATGGGGTTTTTTTTAAAAGTTTGTTTTATCCCTAAATATAAAAAGTGTTATAATATTTTTAAATAATTAAATAATTTAGCCCTTGTCTTAAAAAAAAAGAGAAGAGATATTATTTATATCAGGGGAAAAATAAAAAAATTATTGTGATTTAATATGATTTCTATTAAATAACAAACTTTTATTAATATATGACATTTGATTAAAAATGTTATATATAAGCATGGATGGAGTATTCATGAATAGCTATTTATATCCATTCTTGAGACGACATCAAGCATGAGAAAGCTTTTTTTAGTATCGTGTAGATATATTGTGATCATTTTTGTTAAATATAACATGTTACATTAATCCCATCAATGCGAGACTAAGATTACAACATGGTTCAAAACCCTGGACAATGCCTAATTTATAGTCCATAATGCGAGCCTTCACAAAGCTAGGAAGGTAAGAAATGCGACCCAATCCATAATGAACAAATCGGGTCCATCCATTTTAAGCTTTGAACTCAAAATTAATGTTGGCAGAAAAATGTAGTTGTAGGCCCAGCCCAGGATCCCGTTTTCCAACCTACGGGCCAGGCCCAACCCATCTGACGAGTGTTTTTATTTCCACTTTTCCAGTTTTGGACGATCTGAAGCATATATATGCAACAATCTAATTTTAAGTGAAATTAACAAGAACAAAACGAGATAGATCAATCTTTATATATATCTATATAATTGGAATTTTTTTAATGTGAATTTAATATTTTACATGGATTGGCCTTCCTCCACCTAGCAACACGCGTGACATGATTGTGTGCCATTCATGTGACATGCTTTAAAAAAAAAAGAAAGAAAAGAAAGAAAAGAAAAGGGCCACGAAAAAACTATGCCAAAAAAAAACAAACAAACCAAGTTATGTCAGAGTATAAAATATTTTTGCACTTTAAAGGTGAAATATAAAAAATTTAAACATCTAAATTATCACTAAAAGCTTAATACACTAATCAATTAATACATTTATTATTTTCTTTAGGCATATGATTAAAAGTGATTGTTCAATCTCTCATAATAAATTTTTAAATTTTTTTAATAGTTTTAATAAGAGGATGATGATTCTCAAAAAAGTTATATTAAATGAGTGTGAGAGTTTCTAGAAAGTTAGAATGAATGTTGATTTTAGTAAATTTGTTATTCTAACATATGTTTAGTAATAGTACTAAAGAAATAGCCAAGGTATGTCATTAATCCCTTTATCCAATTTACTTGATCATCTCTAACAAGTCCACCGTAAGCAACAACACTATTGTTATTGGCTGATTCATTAATGTCAAGTCTAATCTAGCCTATAGCTGAGGGCACTATCTCACTCTTGATCTCATACCTTGCAAAAAGAGACAATTGAGTCTTAATTGGAGATTGAGCTTGTTAATAATTTTTTGGGTGTTCGAAAGAGTGATATTTCTATCATGGATGTTATCTTTAGATTGGATCTTTCTACATCTTTCTTTTCATATATTCCACCAGACATGTGCAAAAAGTATTTGCCAAGGGATTCATTTTGTACTTGGACCTCTCGCATTGTTTTTTGCATGTCATAGTATTCAATCTTGTAATGGAAGAGAAAAAATAATTAGTTTTGAATGATTAGACAATTTCATTCAACCTCCAAATCTTCTACAATTATAAAATATGAATGGGGAAGTCAGAAGAGTGACAACCAAAGGGGCAAAGTCCTTCGGTTGGAATTGTTATTATAAGAATAGGTAAAATTAGTTTAAAGAATATCTTAAACTTCTTTTTAAAAAAAAGATTTAATATATATATTTTTTTTTCATAAGCAGGCCTATGACATGCTTTTGATTTTTTCGTAAGCAGGCCTATGACATGCTGTTTATTCATGAAGAAACCGTACAATGGCTTGTCTTGAGTCTTGGATTTCAAAACAGCGTATTTTATTGGATCACATCACAAGATATTATTTAACCAAATCAAAGCATGCATGATCTCTCTTTTCTTAATGAGAAAGAAACATAGAGATATTTTTATTTACCAAGAAATATCATCTTATAACTTGCTTAAAACTAAATGCAATATTTAATAAGACGAAAATATTGTCCTTACAATCCACGAAAAAAATTTTCTAGTATAATTTTTGTTAGTAAATTACTTAATTTAGTGATTTATTTTTCTTTCTTTAATTTTAATGTTTTAATTATATATTCTTTTAAAACATCAAATACAAGTCATTTATTTAAAGAACAAAGATGACATGAGAAATTAAAAAAAAAAAAGGAAGAGACGGCACATTATTAATTATAGCAAATGATAAGCTCACACAGAAAGACAATACAAAAGTCTAATTGTCCTCCAACCAAGTCATTAGTTGGTCAAGATGGCGTCTTATAATGGACTATAATACAATAATAAAAAAAAGTGATAAAAAATAAAAAATATATAAATATTCCGGCTAAAAAAATTATAATTATAACCGAGTAGATTAGCGAGATAAAAGTTGGAGGGGCCTCTTCATCGTTATTGATGTCTTTAGCAGCCTATTCTTTTGACTAAACTCTTTGGACACAATAATACAAAACAAACAAAACTTGGTGGTCCCCTGAACAAGTAATGTTGTATATCCTCTCAATAATCACCACCCTTAAGGGGGGAAAAAGATTTTTATATGATAAAATTATGTGATTAATTATTCAAAAAATGTTCCTTTTTTTTTAATGAAGAAAAAATAATTTATGAAAGAGGTTTTGATGATGGGAAAGAGAGATAAATGAAGATTGAAAACAACAAAAGGGGTTGTACCAAGAGAGAGAAGAACAAAAGGGAGTCACATCCACATGTAATAATGAACAGAACAATGAACAATAGAGGAAGAGAGATCATGGGCTGCTTCATGTGTCTCCCATGCACTAAGCATATTGATATGCAATATGCTCCTTCTATTTTTGTCCATTTCACTTTTCACATCCATCCCAAAATTACCATCCCACCCTCACCTTGTATTCAATTTTCTCATATTACACTATTTTAATTTGATTTTTAGTTTCATGTTTTTTATATATGTGCATCCGCTATTTTGATTGATCCCATTTTAGTTAAAGGACTTGTCGAGCCCAGACTAGTTCAGATCAAGTCAATTATTAGAATCCTCTCCTGCAGCAACCTCTGATATCAAGTACTTAGCCGTTGAACAAAACATTTGTTAGTAATTTAATTTTACTTTTCATTTTTAACGTAAAATCATTCTCCATGATAAAATAAGAATAATTTTTCGTTACAATTTAGATTAGTCAAGGAAATTTTATTAAAAATAATATTAAACTAAAATATAATGTACTATTACCGTTCTCTGTCGTAGGTTTAAGTACTAGGGAGTTCGATTTTTAATTTTCATTGATAAAGTTATGAATTTAAATAAACTATTTGTCCATGCAAAATTAAACGGCATAAATTTAAAGGCAAGGAAAAACAGACGCATAGGTCTTTTTTGACCTTGAATACGCTACGCATAGATTACATATATATATATATATATATATCCACTAATATTAACCATAGTAACTCTGTGCATTGTACACGAGATTCAGGAAGCTAAAATAACCTAACAGCAAAATTTATTTTAATTTTTCACAAAAAAATTGTTTTGCCACTAAATAAGGAATATTTTTTATATTTGCACAAAATTTAAAATAAATCATTCGATTTATGAACACTGTTACTTCCCATATTTTTATATTCTATATTGATGATGATATAAAGAGAACTCTATATTTTTTCAATAATAAGTCTATTTAACTCAATTTAAATTAATCGATTATGATATAATTCTTAAAATTATACAATGCTTGGTTTTGTAAGATGCTTGTATATATATTTTAAAATGAAAAAAATTCAGATTACTTCAATCGAACTAAAAAAAAGATAATTTAGTTTGTTCAAAAATATCATTCCTTTTTTTTTTTCTCCTGAATTTACAGGTACGATCACATGATAAGTACATGAACAGAGTCATAAACAGCAGAGCTCACGAGGGTTTGGTCATGAGAAGGATAAAATAACTTTAAAAAAAAATTAAAAATTAGTGATAACAACCTCTACTATTTCTTCTTCTTCTTAACCTTTCCATTGCAGAACAGCGAGCCAAATCCGAAGAAACTCATAGAACCTTTGGGAATATATGCTTGTGGAAGATTCAAAACAGGACTAATTCGAACCCCATTACCAGAAGATCCACGATTTTTCTGTAAAAAATGTTTCCGAGACGAGCTGTAGAAATAATATGTACTTGAACTTGAAGACGACGAAGATGACGACGATCTTCTGCTCGAAACAGAGGATTGCTTCTGCAACCTCTGCTTCTCCCTCGCTTCCTTTGAAATCTCTGTTTGTTTGGGATTCAACGCCGAACCAGTCGAATTACTTCGTGATAGAAAATGAAGCGATCGAATTAAGCTTATCCCACGCGTATCACAATTCAAACTGCTACTTCGCCTGAATTGCCACAGAGATTTAAACGAAACCTTGTCTTCTTCCTCTTCCTCTTCTACTTCATCGTCGTCCTCCTCGTCAATATCTTCCGCTAAAAACTCCTTGAGCCTTTTCTTCTCAGAACATCTGGAGCTTGAAGAAGGGTGAGACTGAGAAGGAAGGTGAGGAGATTGGAGAGATTGTTGCGTTATATTTGAAGAATATTGGGGTACTTTGTGAATTTGCATGGGAAGGATCTTGCCATTGGAGAAAAGCTCGTCGGCAGAAGAGATTTGGTGAGGGAAAGCACCGGCGGCGACACAGAAAACGAAGTCGGAGGGGGAGTCCAAGTGGCACAAGTCTGATGTGCGATGAGTGTGATCTTCATGGGCGGTGCGGTTGAGATCATTGGAGAAGGAGATTCGAGGGCTAGTTCCAGTAGTAGTGGGTGTGTCGGAGCAAGAAGCAAGAATGGCCATGAGAAAAAAGGTAGGAAGGTAAGAAAGAGAATGTTGTGAGGAATGAAGGGGAAACGAAGTCAGAAATCGCAGCTTTTAGGTTTAAGGTTTGAGTTTGTTTGATGGAGGGAGAAGGTAGGAGCGTGTTCCATAAATGGTGGAGGAGAAGAGAAAATCGGCATTTGGGCTGTGGATTGGATTCTTTTCTTTTTCACCTGTTCTCTCTTATCAATGAAGAGAGAGAGAGAGAGGGAGAGAGAGGGAAGAGGGAGATAATTTTGTTTTTAAATAAAGGGAAAATACAACTTTTAACCCTTGTATTCTAAGCATATTTTGATATCAATATCTGTTCTTTTATTTCAATGTTTCAATTACTTTAAGTTTTATCTCTTTAAAATGTTAATTTTTATATTTTAAAATATGATCATAAGGATTTATCAGTGACTAACATGTGTATAAACTCTTTATTTTTTACATTTAATTTGTTAAAATTATAACAAGTTGTATAAAAATATGAGTAGAAGACAAAAAGGAAAAATAAGTAAGATATTAAATTAGAATCTTTGAACATGCAATAAATAGGACTTTAAAAGAAAGAAAACAGAGTTAGGGTAGACAGTGGGAAAGATTAATAACCATTTTTTTCATACAATATCCAACTCATCATAATTTTATCAACTCACCAACAAAATTAAATAAAATTAGATACATATCAATAGATTTAAGTCCGCCAATAATACTGAGGACTAGAAATGCAGACATGTGAAGCTGAAGGGATTTGAAACAATGAAATAAAAATATAGGAATAATAAAGTATTGAGGCTAATAGTTATATTTTCCTTTTTATAAATGAGGAAAGTAAATATTGAATCATTAACATCTATCCACGTCTCACCCCGCCCAATCTTTATTGGCTTTATATTCTCTGAGTCTCTCCATTTTTTTTTTTTTGCATCCACGCTGTAATTGTAAAATTTTATTAATGTTTGAAAATTTATGTTTGACTAGAAATAAATGAAACAATGATTTAAAAGATAGTTTTATGAGGGTGCATTTTAACCATTTCTTTGCACCCTATCAAATTGTTAGATTAAAATATAGGGGTATAAAAAGATAAAATTGTGATTTAGTGGTCTCTCTTTATCTTGTACTAATATTTTCAACAACCATTTGATTCAATGAACGATCTTTATAGTACCACGTCAAACATTAAGAATTTTTAACAATTTTGTAAATTTTACATTTTATATATGATCATGTTACGTGTTCGTATTCAAACATTTTAAGAAGGGTTGAGGTACATTTTTATTCTTAAAGTATTTTTTGATAAGTACCTAGCATCCTAATATATTTGTTGGAGTAATTGCCCTTAAATTTATCAAAATGGAACATTTTTGTTATTTCCATCAAAATTCCAATGTTGACTCAAATGTTGACAGTTAAAAAATTTGATAGAAAGAGTAAAAATGTTTTATTTTGATAACTTTAAGAATAAAATTGCTTTAACAAAAATGTTAGAGTGCTGGGTGCTCTTTGAGAAATACTTCAAAGACAAATTATCCTTTTAAGAATGTATAGTTGTCTATACTCTATAGTCCACATGTTACATTTACATTCCTTATACACACATTTACGTTTTTACATTAAAATATCTTATTAATTCTCATAGGAATTGTTAAAAAAAATGTAACACTTATTCATATTAAATCATTTTAAAATTATTTTTGTTAGCAGGTCTTTAAATAATTAAGCTATACGTTAGAACATGCCAAAATTTTAGAAGGGACCCTTAAAAGAAAACTTATAGGGACCCTTAAGGCTGGCAAAGACTTTAAACCTACTATTTATACTTATGTTAAACACTAGATGAGTTTATTACTGTAATGAGATCTAATCCTTTCAAAACTTACTTTTTAAACTGTCTAGATTTATTTTTTATTCAAAATATAAAAAATCTAGGCCATCTAATTTTGTTATGAACAATTTAGATTGGTGCTCATCACTCTAACAATGGTAAGAAAATATAATTCTCTATTGCGCCAATACATCATACTGCAGAAAAAAAAGCCACCCGTATGAAGTGATTGTATGCTAAGAAAAGATAAATAGCCTAATTCTTGTATCCCTTGGATATATATATATATATATATATATATTAAATAGAAGGCCATAAAAAAAATCATGCAAATAGACAACTTAAATCATGTTATCGTACAAAAGGTTTTTACATTCAGGTAACGTGATATTAAAAACATGAACATTTTAAATTATCAATAGAAGATTGTTATGCCATTCAATCAATGCAATTATTTACTTATCTAAAGTCGTGATCAATAATAATTAACCATCCATTCTTTTATAATAAATCATATGATTTTGTTGATAGTTGTAGTTAAAGAATGATTTGCAAAGAACTCACTGTGATGAGCATGAGTGCTTTTATAGAGTTACAGTGGACAACGATAACTTTGTTGAACTTTTTAGTTCAACAAATGTTAAGACCTTTAAGGATGATCATGAGTTTAGTAACTGTATTAGGGTGATAGTCAAAATATTTAGAGAAGCACCTTTAATGTAATTTTCTTGATTATCTTGTATTAGATACATAAGAGAATATGGTTAATTCGAGCTATTGTTTTAGAATCACTTTAATATTTTAGTAGAATAGTATTAAAATATGAATTAATATAAATGAGTATAGGGTGTTATTTTCATTTTCAGATCAACTTTTTTATTCTTTTAAAAAAAATAGAGGGGATCAATTTTCTTCCAAAATTTAAATTTTGTGGATTCGTCGTGTTTCAATCTATACAAGTTTATCATGTAATTAAAAAGTGACAAGTAAATGATTATATAAACAAATTTGACGTAGATATGATTAGGAGACACATTCATTCATGTTATAAGAACTCGGACAAAAAAGGGGAAGAAACCTGCCATCATCACACATGAGAGTTAACTTGTCATTGTCCATAAAAAAAAGTGATCAAAATCATTTCTGGATTCTTAAACAGACATGGAAATTTTTATCCCCATAATCATGTTTTCAACTTTTTAAAGTAAGATTCTCGCAAACCAGGTCTCTCACATGCAAAAGGGGGTCGTGAATACTTTTTACAACAACAACAACAAAAACTTTAATTATTGTCTTCATAAATTAAAGAAACACAAGACAAAGTAAATATTCAAGACACATTGTACGTACTTATTAATTAACAATTATATCGTGAAGAATAATTATGTGATGTCAGATAATTTATTTGATGAATAAATAAATAGGGGTGCATGTGTTTAACCACGGATCTAAATGAATAGCATGAACTCATATCCATCCAGATCTGAAGATTGATGTATCAGTGAAGATAATTTCCTGGCGTCAATTATTTCGACTTATTTTATCCAGTGGATTTTGTACATTTTCCAACATATTGACGTTGTCATGAGTGGTGGTGACACAACCTTGATCATTGATATTTGATTCATGCCCCCACTAATGTAGGGGTAGGGCCAATGGGGACAATCTGAAGGGAAAATTACATCTGGAAGCCCTTTTTTAAAAAAAAAATCAGGTTTAATAATTTATAAATATTGCACTTATTACTGAGGTTACCTTTAAAATATTTAAAATTAAGATTTTCATGTGTTAGAAATGAGAATGATTGCCCAGAAGTTGGAGGAGAAAATAAATAGGTAAGAGCAGTGAAAAGACATAATATCTTAACTCAAAGCCTCAAAAATTTTTTAAGTTTATGAGTCATTTTATTTTTATTTTAATTAGTTAATAAGCCTCAATATTTATTATATATTAGAAAATGATAAAAAACTTCAAAAATTATAGAAAATAACAAAAAATACGCAATTAAAAACCCAAAATTTACAGACAATGATCCAAAAAATTAGAGAAAAAGAAAAAAGAATTTGGCCATTTTTTATAATTTTTTATATCCTTTTTAATTATTTTCTAATCAACTAAAGGTTAAAATTAACTTTTACTAATGGAAAGGGCTAGATTGCACAGTTTTTAAAAATTAAGAGAATAATTTGTATAATAAATGAGTTCAAGACCTATAGTGGTAATAAATGTAAAGCTCAAGGGATAATTTACTCATTTACTTTATGAACGTTAATATGAATATTGATCATTATTATTAAATATGATTACAATGTTTAAGATTTTTTTAAAAAAAAATTGGGAAGTTATTTGTACTTTTTTTTTGGCTGAAAAGAATTTCTAATAAATAAAAAAAAACTGTGCAAAGAACAAAACCCCCTAGACGTTAACTCCTTTCACAATCCACCCTCTCATACTATTGAGAAGGTTGATGGTAAAAGAAAGCAAAAGAATCGGTCCTAAGATGACCTAAACTAAGTATGTCTTTAAGAAAAGCACTATTATCATTACAAAGGAAGTTAAACGAGACAGTCCAATTACGAAGAACAAAACTGTTATTTGTACTTTTCTCCCAACTTAAACAAGTCCAAAACTAGCCCATGTGTTGAAGTGAAATGAATCAATTGCTGTTGCATGAATTAGCACAATCAGGTGTACTAGAGCCACAACTTTAGTTGCCCTTTCTTAGGCAATATTGCCAACATTGTGACTCAGAGTAAAATAATGTTTCCTCTCAGCACAAGAGGCCACAAGATCAACGCTTTCAAACCCATAATATGCATTCGACATGTTTGGCATCCAGAGAAAATAAATTGACAAACAAAGAAAAATGAAACCATATCATGATCAATGTTTTTAAAAATGAATTGAATATTTAATTGAAAAGGTCAGCGATTTATGATTTACATGATTCAATTGGGTCAAACCGGTGACATCATAATTAAATTAAAAAAAATTATATATGTATATAATAATCTAAATACAAGAAATAAATGTTAAAGTACTACTTAATTTTAAAAAATTAAATATTTTAAGTTTATTATGATTTAATAAGCCATGTGATACAACATAATATTGAGTGATTAAAAAAATTGGTCATTTTCTAAAAAAATGTAAAAAAAGTTTTTTTGAACAATCCAATTTTTAAACACTGGTTTCGGTTCTTGGTCTGACTGTCGATTTGAAACGGCCCAACCCAACTCAAGCCCAAAAATGATTTTCTCATATTGACCAAATTAGAATCCAGACCAATTCTACCGTCCAGTCCGATTCGGTTTTGAAATCATT